TAAACACAGAGACTTATATTGCTTACAAACCGTATGGCCATGGCAGGCTTCTTGCTAACTGTTCTTATAGCTTAAATTAACCCATTTCTATAAATCTATGCCATGTGGCTGGTGGCTTACCAGCATCTTTACATGTTGCTTGTCATGGCGGTGGCTACAGTGTCTCTCCCTCCTTCCTGTTTCCCCAATTCTCCTCTCTTCTTGTCCTTCCTATACTTCCTGTCTGGTCACTGGCCATCAGTGTTTTATTTATAGAGAGTGATATCCACAGCACTTGTATGTGCTGTGGATCCACAGGGTCTTGTATGTGCTGGGGAAGCAGTCTACCACTGAGCTAAACATCCGCACTAAGAAAAAATTTTAAAGATGTGAAGTAATTATTTCAATAGTAACAGTAGTCATATTATACTCCAGTATCATTGTATCCAAAATGCTTCTAAATTTTTACTAATTACAGTCCTGGGAAGATTTGAGGTGAATGTTTTTTAACTGTAGATTAACCTCAAAAGCCTTAATTTCAAATGTTATTATTAACAAACCTTTATAAAACATAGTGCTTGCTCAGTTTACTAAACATCACTTAATTTTCATTAAGGATTTTGTAGGTTATGATTTTGAATAGTGGTACAAATTGCATGGCAGTAAACAGGGTGATGGCGAATTGGTACAGATGACAGAATGTCCAATGGAAATTTTTTACAGCCTTTGTTGCTGTTTTTAATTTCTCAAAGTATTAACTCCTTTTGGTTTAACAGATTTTGTTCAGTCAGTTTTACACTGGTTGTAAATTTAAGTTATTTAGAATTGAGGTAAGTTTAACATTGGCATCCTTTAAAAAATTTGACAGTCATGACATTCAGGTTTAACTGTTACAAAGTAGTTGGGCTTGAGCTATGGTTTGCCTGGCTTGTCCTTGGACACATTTTAAGTAATGGTAGATTATTTCTTGAAGACATCAGACAACCAAATGGAATATTCATAACTAATTCATTACTGACATAAGCAAATGCAATCTGAAACTAAGATAGGCTTGTAGCAATATTCACAGTACATTGGTTTAGGTAGTATGGCTCAATGAATAGGAAAATAATATGACTTTTAATTTAGCAGAGGGAAATAATAGTATCAACTATATTATGTATTTATTGAAACAGGTGGTACCAGGAGAGACTGCACTGGCATTTTATAAAGCTAAGAATCCTACTGACAAACCAGTAATTGGAATTTCTACATATAATGTTGTACCATTTGAAGCTGGACAGTACTTCAATAAAATACAGGTAAACTGAATAAACTTTATGGTAAAAGTGTGTGAAACTGCTTAATATGAATTAAATGCTTTTAATTTCTAAAAATTCTTTTTCTGGCTGGGTCTTGTCTGTAATCCTAGTACTCAGTAGGCTGAGGTGGGAGCAGTGCCATGAGATAGAATCTAGCCTGCATATGGATATGCAGTGGGTTCTAAGCCAGGCTGGGCTACAGTGTGAAACCCTGTTTCAAAGGGGGGAAAAAAAGCCTAGATCAATCAATACTTACTTCTTCTAAACATAAAGCTATTTTTTAAATCTTCATTGCTTACACCATCTAGCTGGAGAGCGAAGCCAAATCTGTGTTTGCTCCTTTTGTTTGTTTGAAACAGGGTCTATGTATCCTGGCTGTCCTGTAGCTCTGTAGACCAGGATGACTCAAACTCAGAGATCTACCTGACTCTGCCTTCCAAGTGGTAGGATCAAAGGGCTGTACTACTACACCTGGCTACTGTATTTGCTTCTAAGATTAGAATTAAATTGTTTCCTATCCCTTAAAGCAAACTCAGTCTGTGATGACAAGATGCTGCTATCCTATGATGGCGCTTAAAGACAGGAAATGAACATTGGTTTGTGTTAAGTAATAGAGCAGGAGTGTTACTAACCAAGTGTCTTTCTGTAATTTGTAGTGCTTCTGTTTTGAAGAACAAAGGCTTAATCCACAAGAAGAAGTAGATATGCCAGTGTTTTTCTACATTGATCCCGAATTTGCAGAAGATCCAAGAATGGTGAATGTCGATCTCATCACTCTTTCTTATACTTTTTTTGAAGCAAAGGAAGGGCACACATTGCCAGTTCCAGGCTATAATTGAAGTAGCTTCCAAGACCTGCTTCAGATTTGTGATTTTTGGAAAATCATGTATTGTACTTTCTCAGAAGAGAAATATTCTACAGTAATGTATATTGAAACCTTGTATTTTAAATGGTTCTATTTCTTTCTTCCCAACTTCATTTATCTCATTTAAGACTGAGAGAATAGGTTCAAAACTCAGTCTGTAATGAAAAGATGCTGCTATCTTATGATGGTACTTAAGGGCAGGGAGGTACTTACGGGCTCTGTTTTAAGTAATAAGAGAAGGAATATTACCCACCAAGCCTCTGAAAAAATATATCCAGTGTACCATATGTGTGACTTTTAAAAACAGCATGAAGGGCCAGGGAGATGAATCACTGGTTAAATTATTTGCCCCATAGGCCCAACAACTTGAGTTCTGGTTCCTAGAACCAGCCTTAAAAGAGTGAATGCTTAGCTCACATCTGTAATCCCAGAGTCCTTACAGTGAGATGGGAGGTTGAGCCAGGAAAATCTCCTGGCCTTTATATGCATGCTGTGGCTGCCCACACACATATACCTTTAATAGTTCAATTTAATTCTGTAGTTGCCTTCACACTTTTAACAATGCACTTGAAAACTTAGAAAATGTGCACAAGTGGTTTGTTTTAGTTCGTAGAACTTATCACCAAGCAAGGTGGCTGCTATTTTCCTTCAGTATAAACTGACACTATTTAAAAATGGTTTTATCTTGTGAGTATGCGGGGGAAAGCGATGGCCCCATGCTGCAGCACACATATGCTGGTCAGCGGACTCGCTGTAGGAGACGGCTCTCTTTCACCATGTGGCTTCTCAGGAATCGAGGTTGTCAGACAAGGCAGCAAATGCCTTTACCTGCTGAGCTGTTTTTGGCCGAACTGACAGTTTAAACAACTTAAAGTGGAAGTGTAGCTAGAGTTTTCCTGTCTTGCCCATAGTCAGGACAAATCTTTGTCACCCGCCAGTCCCACAGCCACTCAGACCCAACCAAATAAACACAGAGACTTATATTGCTTACAAACTGTATGGCCATGGCAGGCTTTTTGCTAACTGTTCTTATAGCTTAAATTAATCCATTTCCATAAATCTATACCTTGCCACGTGCCTTGTGGCTTACCGGCATCTTCACATGCTGCTTGTCATGGTGATGGCTGGCAGTGTCTCCCTTTCTCTTCCTGTTCCCTTAATTCTCCTCTCTGTTAGTCCCTCCTATACTTCCTGCCTAGCCACTGGCCAATCAGTGTTTTATTTATTGACCAATCAGAGTAATTTGACATACAGACCATCCCACAGCATGGAGGAGGAATCACTCAGCTCTAACAGCTTGCTCCAAGTTTGCATTCTTAATTCAAAGGTGGCTTTTTCTGTTAAGATTGAGGGCTATTTTATTCAAAGTATTGTATAGCCAGTGACTTGGAAATGATGGTATAATCTAACAGAATTATACCTGCTAGTCTATGCTAGCATTTATTGTTAAAATTGCAAGTTCATTAATGTATGATGTAAGGATGAAATTGTGAAGACTTACTGATATAAAAGCTCCTTGAGGTAAACAACAACAACAACAAAAAAAAACACACCTCTCACAAATTAATAGTAATTTAATTTTAAGTGAATGATACACAGTTTTGTTTTCCAGTAGTATTTATTTCAAATCAAAATTTAAAGTATAGTAAAAGTCAAGAATGTTTATCTTTATAAAGGCCACCTGATGCAGTGGCCTGCTCAGGCACTTGAAATATAATTAAACGAGTCATCAAGTTTAAACCAAAGTGTCATTTATAAACAAGTGCAAACTGACTTCTACATTCAAATTCAGTTAAATGAAGGCACTCATTTTCTTCCTCACTTCCTGCCCCATCTGTTCACAATGTTTTGTAGTAGGACGATCTTCAAGTACCCTTGTAGGTCTGTGATGATTTCTATTGGCAGGAATGCCTCTGCAGCGTACGAGTCTATAATTTAACCAGTTGGCCTAGTACCAGGCAGTTTTCCTTCTGCTGAAGGTGTAATTGTTATAGCCAGTTTCTCCTGAAATGTTGAGCCACTGTCAGGAACAGCAGTATTAGCTGGAAAATGTTAACTATTCTGTTGAAGCTTCATCACAGCAGAGAAGTGGTCCACTGTGGCTTTCCCTGTTGGCAGGTCTTGTCTTTCATGCCTTAGTTGAGTGAGGACTACTTTAGAGAGTTGGCCCTTTGTGCTGCTAATGAGCTGATCATGCATCTGGAATAAAGGGAAGACATTGGCCCATTTCCTGCACTCCCTGAAAGACTTGAAAGCCACACAATTAAGCAGAAGAAAGGTTGGAATGCACTTCTTCCATGGTTGGAGTTGTGAAGGGAATAAAAAGTGAACAGGTCAATGGAGACCAGGCATTGGGTAGTGTATAAACAGGATAACTAGTGCAGGAGCACTAATGGGTTCTGTTCATACAATTAACAGGTATGGACTGTACACTGAAGCCATAAGAGTTGTATTAAAAGGACAAGAAATTTTATTGATCATCTGTTTTGTTAGTATTAATACTTATATACCCAAAACCAACTTTTATATTTCTGTGCCTCATTTCTAGTTGATATGATCATGGAGATTATATGTCATTAATGAACACTGGTCAGTGTTGAATAATTCAGAGGAACTTGGTATTGTACCAAAATAAGTGTCAGACTTAAATGGTGCTTATAGAATTTAATGCAAAATGTGATAATTCCACTTAATTATATGGAATGTAAGTTGCATAAACTGGTGTTTTGTTTTGTTTGTTTGTTTTTTTACCTTAGCAGTCACTATGACTTTGAGCTCCTTTGTGGTGGTAAGCATCAATTTCTTCATAAACAGCTCTAAAACAAAGCCACCAAGGCAGAAGAATTACACATCAGTTTCAAAGTACTATATTACCACCACCAGAACTAAAAATACAGGCTGTTGGGGGTTGGGGGTGTTAGGAATCTTAAGTGAATACAAAGAAAGACCTTTATCCTTGAGCTTATTCTAACATACAACATCTAATGTTAGAGTTCTTTCCCATGCCTGTTAAAGGCCAATTTATTTTTACTTTTGATTTAAAGGAAAACTATGGTTCAAATTTGGGCAGTTTGACTTTTTTACTTAAAAAAAAAAATCTAGCTTTAAAATATTTTCAAAATATGAATGGTGTGCTTTATTTTAACATTGTATTATAGTCTAGACTTGAGAGAAGTCTTTAGCTTGTGTTGGTCATCGTTGTACTTTTAATAAATTATAATTTTTAATAATTTCCCTCAGTTTTTTATATGTATCTTTATAGCTCAAAAATATCTGTATCCAAAGGTAGCATTCATATATAGAATATAACAAAACACAGCTGTGAGAAATCTCCCAAAATAACAGCACTATGAAATAAACTAAAGTGACAAACTTCATAAATTACCATGTTTCTAAAAATTCTAGACTTTGATTTTACCTTTTATCCTCTTTCAACCACTGATCTCAGTATCTCTCAGGAAGAAACCTCATGTCTTAATAAGTTCTTCATCATAATATGGAAACTTCACTGTCCCTTTTCAATCCCTTCATTTTATATTCATGTGCATTGCACTTTACTTCCATGGACCTGTCAACCTGTCTTCTCAAACAACTCTTCAGCAAATGCCCTCTTTTCCAAATCTTCAGCTTCTCCCTCTATACTAAATTCTAACCCTCTGTGGCTCCACTTTTTATACCTGTGCAGCCTCTTAGCACATAACTACTAGAACCTACCTCAGAACCTACCTCAATAATACTCTAGTTCCCAAGTCATGCCCATCATCTCTTTACACTTAAGTTCTTAAAAGATATTTGTATGTATTTTCACTCTTAATTTTTAACCTTGATAAGTGGCTTCTGTCCCCAGTTCACTAAAATAGCTTTTAATAAAACCTACTATTTCCAGTAACTGAGTCCAACATCTAGTTTTCGGTTCTTGACCTGGTTGTACTTTGAGTAGTGTTCATAGCTGTTTTCAGGTTAAACTTCCACACCTGGCACTAGGTTCCCTATTACTTTCTTCATTATCTGTGTTGGCATTTCCAGTTCATTGAATGTGCTAAAGCTTTCTACTGGGTTTCTATCCAAGTTATTTTGTAGATTGGACAAAAGTTAACAATGCTGTCTCCTATGGTTCCCTCTAGTCTTCATTTACATTAGTTCTTCCTATCATATACACTCTAGTTACTGTATCCTTTCATACTGTTGACACATCTATTTGCTTGCCAGTTTGTTTATGTTTAGCTTGCTTGTCAACATTACATTTAATGTTTATAAGAACAGAGAGCTTGTCTTGTTCAAAATTAGGTAACAGTCACTCCCTTTGGTATACACAAATGAGTATTGTGTGTATTCTGAAGATATATAATTATATATGCCAAAAAAAAAAAATGTTGACCTGGGATTCATGGCCAACCAGTGATGTGAAAATTCCAGAACTTCTAAGAGTCTCAGCTTGTTCTTAGAAGTTCCTGGATTTCATGAGACCTTCAGTGGAACTGAGGCTTTAAGTCTCTAGAAAGTAAGAACCACAGTGGTAAAGAGTTCCAGGGTTTTTCTTCTCCAGCTCCCCTACTGCCCATTTCACCTATGGTACCTAGGACACACATACCTACTTAAAGCAGTTAGTTAATCTAAATATGCTCAGGAACCTGACATAACTGGGCATGGAATTTAAATACCAGTTTCTTTAACTACATAACTACATATGTTCAATGACAGATACTTTATCAAGCTTGGCCAAGAGAAATTCCATCATCCTGAGTTAGTAAAAGTTCCTAGCAGTTGGGTGTGGTGGTGCATACTTATATCCCAGCACTCAGGTCAGGGTGGGAAGGTCTCCTGAGTCTATTACTGTTTATTAATTAACAAATGATGGCAAAATGGCTTTCTACTCTTAGGGCTTAAATAAGGGAACAATATATCAAATGCTTACATGTGCCAGGATACTGGCTGAAAAAAAGTAAAAAGCACCAAGGCAAAACATAGATGAAAAGAAACAGGTTAAAATAAGTTATACGAGCTAGTGGGACAAGCCTAAACTAAGGCCGAGCATTCATAACTAATAATAAGAATCTGTGTCGTGATTTAGGGACTGGTAGCACAAGAAAGCCCGCTACATTTGGCACCCAGTGCAGGGACTGGATTTCCACATAGGGCCTGAGAAAGCTGAAAAAAAAAAATTAATACAGAAAAAAAAAAAAAAAAAAGAAAAAAAGAAAAGAAAATGAACATCACAAAAGCTTATCGGCTAGCTGAGACTATGACCGGAGTTCTTGAGCAGCTGGCATGCTAAGTAGAAACAGCAAGCTAAGTCAAAATGCCTGCCAGTGTGGGTACTAACTTCCTAGAGCATGGGCAGTTAGATGCAGAGCCTGTTTAAAAGCAGCTCTCAGCCAGGTTTTTGGCCTTAAGGCTCAGGTCTCATGGACCTGAGGAGGGTTGGGGCCAGTTGCCAGAATCTCACAGTGGAGGAGGGTCTAGCTGCTGCTTAGCCCTTTAAGGCTTGGTTCACATAGTGAGAAAAGGCTACAGATACACAGTAAAGACAGGTCCAGATGGGACAAAAAAAAATCTCTAAATAGGTTACAGTGTGTTAAAAAATGTGCATAGGCACCCAAAGAAAGAAAAATGGATATAGACAGTCATAGGAAAAAGTAAATAGTTTAAAAATAAAGTCTTTAAAGAGTAAAATGATATAAAATAATAAGCCATGTAAAGATGGTAAATACTCAGGGAGTCTGGATCCTTTATGGTGTTGTGTTGACTTTGAATTTTTTGAATACTGATGAGCAGATGGCAGCTGCTGAGAGACACTGGATTGTAAAAGGGGACTGCTGAATTAAACCAGCCTAGATACTTGAGGAATGTCTTAATTTTAAAGTGGAATTCAGAAAATGTATTCTGTTGGAAATGATAGGCTGTGGTTCCTTCAAGGTTAATAGGGATAAGGTTTGATTGGGAGAGATCTCCTGAAAATCATGGCTACAAACATAGAAAATTAATTCAAAAGCCGGGCAGTGGTAGCACACACCTTTAATCCCAGCACTTGGGAGGCAGAGTCAGGCTCTATGAGTTCAAGGCCAGCCTGGTTTACAGAGCGAGATCCAGGACTGACACCAAAACTACACAGAGAAACCCTGTCTTGACACCCCCCCCCCCAAAAAAAAAACCCAAAACAAAACCAAAAAACAAATAAATCAAGAAAAACTACAAGATAGGTGACATATATACTCATCCCTCTGCATGGGAACAGTTCTAAGACTGGACCACAAATGCTACAACTAGTTTTACCAGGATTTGACCATTTTCTCAGGGTCCTCTAAAAATTCTATCGGCCCCAGACAACAGAAAGCAGATTATAGAACCCAATTCCCGCATTCCCAAGAGGTGGGGTGGGTGGTTTTTAGTCATTTGGTGGGTTATGGATGTTTGTCATCATTTAGGGGAGGATATAGGAATATAGGATAAGATGACACTATTAGCCTCTATTACTTTACATTGGTATGAATTTTTGGTATATTGATACTAATTTAAAGTTATTTTTGTTAAACTGTAGATATGTTTTATATTTGTTTAAGGTATTGTACCTATGTAGCTCATTAAAAAATATATAATTAAGAAATGCAGTTTAGTAGTTAGTCATCTATAACAATCAAATTTGTGGTCATGTTAGGTATGTTTTCAAGGTTAAACATATATTTTAGATAGATAGGTGATCTTCAAATGCTTCAGAGACCTACAGAATATAGCCTTTGAGATGTCTTAATATCATAAGGCTTTCATGCCAGTGAGAAGAGTGTGCTCCTGGCAGCACCAATCTACTTTGTAAAATGATAATGGGCATTGAAGGAAGAGGCTCTACATGGAGTTTACTTTCGATGTGGCAAAGCTAGCCATTTGGGCAAGAAACTGTCCTTGCCTTGCCTGCTGGCAGAATGCTGTACAAACAGGACAAGCAGGACACAAAGGAAAAAGACTGATGAAATTTGCCAAGACAAGACAAATTTCCTTAAAAATTCCTGCTCCATAGAAAAGTCTGTCAGATATTCAAGGCCTGTAGGCTAAAGATGGATGCCCCAACATTGCAGAGGAACCTTGGGTAAACATTGGCAGCCGGATATCTCTGTCGTTTCTATAGTTTTGGAAGTGGCTTGCACTGCACTTCCTGTTTACTCAGATAATATATCCTTCTGGGGTCTTTGATGGAGTTTTAGACTAGATAGCTATAGTTACAGATCTTAGTTATGATAGAAGGGAAATTAGGTATAAACTTTGGACTAACCAAGATTTGATAAATAATGGATATTTTCTCTAAATTTGCCAAATACAAATGGACTGGATATTGTCAATGTAATTCTACTTGATAATTGTTCTTATTGTATATAATTTTACTATGTTAAATTTAAAACCTTTGCTTTTTATTTAGACAAAAAGGGGGAAATGTTGCAGAACAGAATGTTTGTTTAACTATGTAAAGATGTGTTGCATTTGTTTTACCTTGCCTAAGGCATCTGATTGGTCTAATAAAAAGCTGAACAGCCAGTAGGTAGGCAGTAGAGGGATAGGTAGAGCCAGCAGGCAGAGAGAAGAAGTAGGAGGAGGAATCTGGGCTTGAGAAGGAGAAGAGAGAGGGAGGTGCCTGAGGCCAGCTAGTCAGGCAGCTGCCAGCCAGACATACACGGAGGAAGCAGCAAGTAGGACATACAGAATGAAAGGTAAAAAGCCCTGAAGCAAAATGTAGATGAAGAAAAAATGGTTGAAATAATTATAAGAGTTAGTGTGACAAGCCTAAACTAAGGCTGAGTGGTCATAACTAATAATGTCTCTGTCATGATTTGGGGCTGGCGGTCCAAGAAAACCTGCTACAATTGGCAGTCATGGGTACATGGTGAACTACAGAACATACTCTACAGAAGACAGATATTCCATACTACCACCACCTTTGCTAGTGTTAAGAACACAGGCCTGATGCTTCTACACTATCCCAAATCTTGAGAAGTACTAACTATTTTGACATACTAGTTTTTAACTATTGGTAATTGATTTTTTAAGTGTACATTTTAAATTCTGCACAGGGCAAACAAAATACAACTGGGGAACATATATAGACTCCAGGCTGCCAGTTTCTGAACAGTGATTTCCAAAACCTTGTTTTGAGCATTTTTCATAATTTGAGGGGTAATCATTCACTCAAGAGGATAGATATTAAATCTATAATATGAGGCTGGAGAGGTGGCTCAGCAGTTAAAAGCATTGGCTGCTCTTCAGAGGACCTCGTTTCAATTCTCAGCATCCACATAGAAGTTTAGAATGGTCTGTAACAACAGTTCCAGGGGATCTGACACCCTCTTTTTGCCTCTGCAGGTACAGGTCCACATTTGGTACACAGACATGCATGTAGAGAAATAAACACATAAATAATAAAAACCCTATAATGTGCTTACCATCCCATATACAATCTGGCAAACAGGAAATCATTAAGTGATGGTGCGTTAAGGATTTCAAGTTAAAAGCCTTTTAGTTTTCCTTTTGGACAAGGTCTTGCTGACATTGGCCTACACTGGCCCCACTTGTGATCCTCCTACCTCTGTCTCTTACATGCTGAAAGTGTACTGTAGGGCTATACTTGGCTATAAAACAATTTTAACATTAATGGTCACTCTTAAGGATATTTTTGTCATGTTGAACACAAGAAGTTCTTTTATATGTCCTTTGATTAAATTCTGGGGGAACAGTTTTAAAATGTGACATTAACATGTCAGGAAAGAAAAGTGTCCTCTCAAGCTCAATAGACACTTGCCACCTAGCTATGCTGAATGTTGGTTCCAGTTACTTCTTAATGTGTGATCCTAGCATTTTTATTTTTCAGTCACAGGCTGAGAGCAATAAGGCCATTAAGAACAATGGCCACTATAACTCATAAATCATTTTTTAATAAGGCCATAAATGTCTGCCAAGAGCTAAACAAAGTTAAATGAATGACCAAGCTCAGTTAGCTCTGTCATCAAAGGGAACCGAGACAAAACATAAATTAATAATTTTATAAATGACTTACTCTGTAGCAGGAGCTAAGGGATCAAACTCCATTACCTCGTAGTAATTGGGTGGCTGGAGATCATTGTTTGTTAGCACTTTAGGTGCGTGAAGAAAAAAAAAAAAAGACAAGTAAGTACATACACATTGTGCTTGTGAGGAACATGCACAATTAATATTCTGTTTAATGTGACACTACTTAATATTTAGATTTTAAACATATGAGTCTAACAAATACAACCAAAACAGACAGTTCAAATGATGCTAAATTCATGAGTCTATACATAAAAAAGATTTCTAGACCTCAACTAAAATTTCATTTATTTCAGTGCAAACCAAATACAATATTCAGTTCAGCATAAGTATTTTTATAATCTAATGTGAATCGTAATGGTGTCAGCCCTGAGTTTATTACATGTAGCTTCAAAGTACAATGAGCTCTCCACATTTCTCCTCTATTTTCAGTTAATAATCTTTGGCAGATTCCAGCATTCTAACAAATTGACTTATTTGATGCAAAGTATAGGGTCTTGTATACCTGGATGATTACTGGGCAAGAGTGGTGGCCTCTGGCTCGATGGTGCTGCTGTGGCAGTCTGTGGCTGTAGTAACACTGAATTGGAGTGTTCCAGAAACTGAAGAAAGCATAACACGTGTTCAGGCTTACATTCTCCATTAAGCATTTTTGTTACTTAGATTTTCAGGTTTCTAAATGGCACTGCTTCAAGAGCCATATACATTCAACCGAGTGAGAACTAGTCATTTTTACTACTTTCATTTTAAAGTAATAACTACTTGTAAAATTGTCTGCATGGCTTCATGCTCATTACATTCCATTTCCCACATAAAATGTAAAATGTATTTAAAAATACTGTTTTTTAAGGAAGAAGCGGAATTGTATGGCTCAATCTAGCTTCTGTTTCATTCTGAATATGAAATCTCAGCCTTGCACAGGAATGAAATTCAGTTTACAAATCGGCATGCAGGGATGCTATCAAACCAAGACTAATAAAGACAAGTAATTCTTTATCCAGGTTTAGCTAGCATACCTAAATAAAGATAGAACTTGAGAGGCTGAGACAGGAAAATGGTGAATTTGAGGCTAGCTACATAGCAAAACCCTGTCTCAAAAATCAAAAACACTTCTTGTAATTTCCTCCTTCATCCTACAAGTATGTCGCTTACTAGCTACCAGGCACTGTTAAGACACGAAATAAAACAGACAAGTGGACAGCAGTATCCAGTAGCGTGTTCTATGGTGAAAGAACAAGAAACTTGGGAAAAGAGAGGCTAATGTACAGTGGGATTCTGCGCTCATAGCCTGGTCACAGGGGATGCTTTATCACTGGGGACCTTCCAGCAGACCGCTGAATAATTAATATCGGAGGATACAAGTTTCTAGGCTCTGAAGTCAGGGATGTTATTATGGTTGAGGCACAGTGAGCCGAGACAGGTCCAGGGTGAGGTAGGAGAGGTGATGGGCAGGGTAAGATCGGCATTCCAGGCGTCCACAGAATAAAACAGGAATACAACCAGGTGGGTTTTCAGCAGATGAACGGCATGACTGGAGGAAACTGCTCAGGTTTGGTTTTTAAGAGGACATTGGAATAGGGTGGGAGAGAAGCTTTGGGAGGCTAAAGCTGAAACACAGCAAGCCTGGAGAGGTTGTTAAAGCATCCACTGTCTGATCACTTAAATTGGGGTGGGAAGTGGAGGGGTGTAGGACAGCGAACAAAGTAGAAGGTAAAATGGTGAGGTCACGTGATACTGACCTAGGCTTTTCCCCCTAAGCAACTGATAAACAGCATTGGCCACTTAACAAGGTACAGAGTCTGCTGGGAGAGCTGGCAGAGAGTACTGGGAAGAACAGGGTGAGAGGAGATGCAAAGTCGACGGAATTCTGAGTTCAGGGAGCAGGGTCTAGGCTGGAGATAAAATTTTGTTGATTGTCGAAACTTGGTTATTTTAAGGCAGGAACCAAAGCTAGGCATGGTGGTGCATGCCTTTAATCCCATTATTTAGGTGGTAAAGGCTGAGGAGTTCATGGCCAAAGAGACCCTGTCTCAAAGAAGCAGAAAGAGGGAAAAACAAAAGATTCTAAAGGGACGAGGTAGATAAGATAGAGAGAGAAGTCTGTGCCTGGGGTTTCCAATACTGAAATACCAGGAGAGAAGAGGGAAGAAGAAATGGCGAGAAACAAGGAGTGTGTGAGAGTCATAACTACACAAAATAGCAAGTGACTAATTGTTCAGAGTAGGACTAGTTTAATTACGTGGAGGACACTGATGATCTTCACAAGAGTTTAGGAGAGGGAAGGATGAACAACTCTGAAATTTACAAATATAAACAATGTTAAAGGAACTATAACTTTTTTTTTTTTCTTACAGTGCTGGGGATCAAACTTAGGGCTTGTACATTCTAGATGGGTGCTGTACCACTGAGCTATATTCCAGGCCCAGAAATTATGACATCATTATCTTTAACCAGCTTATCCAAGAAAAGTAAAATAAAATTTGTCTGTCTCTAAAGATTAAGGTGGCCAACATGGCTGTGTGAACCAACTGTAAAGATACGCAGAGTAGAGCATAAGACTCAACAAGCAATGCTTTTGGTCATGATTATCTGCTGACTAGGTGAACTGCTAGCAAAAGGGGTTTTGTTACTCACATTATCATACGTGTGACTTGAGGCGAGGTTTTGGCTGGTCCTTTGGGCAAACCTAGGAAAGTGTGATAACACAGCATGATTGATTACCCTATAGCGAGAACACAAATGCAAAAAGTAAGATGATTTCCCTGGTCTGAAAACAAAGCCCGTAGCACACCTTCAGCCTACACAAAATGACACCCCACTTCAAACTCACAAAATGATAATATGCCATCTGGTTTCAGTGCCCTCCCGGCCATGAGACTCAAAATCAGACACAGCAAACACGCCAGTCTTTGGCAGTAGCACACTTAAAGCCCTGGAGTGTACACAGTACAGGATTGAAAATACAACCTGCAGTCTTTCCATCCGTAGCTACCACCCATTACATCTTAAAAGATGAGAAGCAGGGCCGAGCCAACGTTAGGAAAGATGAGAGTTCCCATTCTGGTTAAAGTGGACTGGAAACTCATTTTATCCCATTACTAATGCCATTATAAAAGCTGGAAAACAGAGGCCAGTGAAGCTAGTCAGGAATGTGGAAATAGTAGCAGGCTGATTGGGAAAGAAGACTAAAATTTAAGTACCGCTGAGCTATTGTTAAATTTACCACGTTTGTATTCTCTAGACTGTAAGTGGTGACAGAACTCTAAGGAAAGCACTCATTTGCATGCAGAGAGCAAGAAAGACACCTCTTGCTGCCTCTGATCCATCTTTACATCCCAAACATAGCCAACCCTATGGTGGCTGCAGTGGCTCCAGAGGAAGCAGGGCAGGTCAGGAGAGTAAACTCAGGAGTTCGGGAAACTTTCTCTCCAGTAGGCTAAGCTGTGACCTCAAAAGCATGGGAATACCCATTGTTTCTTTCTGTCTTACCATTTGTCTGGAAAAGCACAGCAGAACGAAGATTAGGTAATTAGATAATAAGATGACCAGAGAACAGAGAAGGGAGCTCCAGGACACCAGAGAGTACCAAAGGTGAGAGAATTCAGGAAAACAATCTTGTAAGATTGTTATGAAATCATAAGATTGACTTGTTAATAATGTCTGTGATTCTGATCTCCGTAATGAAGTCAGTATACTCAGAACTGGACACAAAACCTGCTGCTAGACTTCTGATTGACCACAGGATGGGACATAGGAGGGATAGATTTGAACAGCACAGCAAGAGCTTTGAAAATTCAGCTGATTTTTGAACCCCATATTACACAGGCAGGCTGAAATTATGAAATGAATCTAACCAAGTTCTTCGCTTAATAACATCAAAAATTCAACATTATAGACCAAATTTTTACCAAAACCAAGCATCTACTAGTAAAAATTAAAATTGCCAAAGATATAATTCAAAATGACTAGGCATATAAAGAACATGAAAAAAATTAATGCAGTAAAAAGGCAGCCAACAGAAATGAATACCAAGAGAACATGGTTGTTAGAGTCATCCCAAAGACATTTTTAAAGCAGCTACTGCAATACAAATAGTCCAAGAAGCAAGCATTCAGTAATGCTTTTAAAAATGGAAAAATAGAAAATGTCAGTTAACAAATAGAAGACATAAATAACAAAGTGGAAATTTTAAAAATGAAAAAACAGAACACAGTAGAAACAAACTTTGAGTCGGTTTAATTATGAAGGAGATGAATGAACAGTTAGTGAACTTGAACGTAGAGCATAGACATGATCCAGTTTGAACAGGCGTGAAAGAGACTAGACAAGCAGCCCTAAAACACTGAGGCAATAATACCATCCAACAATTGTTACCACAGTCCCAACAGGTAAGCAGAATGGGTGTAGCACTGAACATAAAAATGAATCAATAAAGGCTAAAATGTAGTTTGGTGAAAAGACAAACCCACAGATTCCAGAAGACCTGTGCAGTGAATTAAATGTCATTCACCCACTCTCTAAAGGATATGTTCAAGTCATAATGCCTAGAACCTGTGTTATCCTGTTCAGAAAAGAGATCTCTATGTAGTTAAGGATCTTCAGACGCAGTCGTCACCTGAATGATCTGATTGGGCTTCAAGTCTAAGGGACAGAGATCTTAGAAAAGCTTAGTGAGACTATAGTTGCACATAAGAATCAGCCAGAAAGTAGAGGCAGAAATTGGAATAGCCATTAAGCCAGTGAAGCCAAGGAATACCAAGTCACCAAAGAAGGGGCAGAGGACAAATTATTACTGAAAAGTGCCAGAGAGACTGAATTTTAGACTTCTTGCTTGCATGACTATGAGATAATAAATATCTGTGGTTTTGAACCATCTAGTTTGTGGGAATTTGTAATGGTAGTCATAGGAAACTAATGTGCTTAGCCAACCCTACACAAATACGTCAAAAGAAACCACACCCATACATCACAAACTGCTCAAAATTAAAGAAGAGGAAACAATAAAAATTTAAGGCAGAGCACATTATTTGTAGAGAAACAACTGTTTAATACCACTTCTTTTTTAAAGCCACTAGTTTGTAATTCTCCTGGGATGCTTGTAAAAACTAAGATTTGTGCTACTGAGACAGAACCTGTTGGGGCTAACAATTTGATATGTGATCTGTGTTCAAGTTCACTATGAGACATTAACAATCATCTTAGTGATTTATGCACACAGGAATATGATCTGAGATGTTATACAATAAACTAAATGTCGGTAATTGAGATTTGGTTTCTTTTGTGAGTTTCATGGAGACATTTGCTGCAAGGTAAATTTTTCTGTATTAGTCATTTATTCTCATATTATCCAACAAGGTTAGCAGGATGGCAGAAAAACAGTTACTCAGCAGGCAGCTCAACTAGAAATTGGCCTACAACATTTCAGCATATGCTTGACTTGTATGACCAAAACCAGAGCTAGCCAGTCTATGGTTTGGTCTCAGTTTGGTAACCCATGAGATGGTGACTGATGCTTCATTTCCTAGCATATGGACCTTTTCCCTCTTCCCTTATACATTTTTTTCCTTGACTTTTGAAAGAAATTCTCTGTTTAATACTTTCTCATTCTTGTCCCTATAGTCTTCTCCCTTTTAAGTATAAAAAAGCAATTAAGTAATTGGGGATACAAGTGTTTAATAAAAGAGAAATAAATTGATATTCCCTGTTACCTACAGATGCCTTGGAAAGATAAATGAGAACCCAGCCAATTAATGGATTCAGTACAACACCAGGGAAGGGAAAGAATGAAGTGGAGATGAGATAAAAAAAAATTTGTTTATATAATTTTTATGTTATTTTGGTATCAGCCTCATGGAAACATGTTACCTATTTCCTAAAATGTGTGTGTTTGTGTGCCTGTGTGCGTGTGTGTGTGCGTGTGTGTGTGTGTGTGTGTGTGTGTGTGTGTGTGTGTCTGTGTGTCTGTGTCTGTGTATGCTCCTGTGTATGTAAGAATAAACATTAGCCTTGTCATAAGACAAATCCAACTTATTTATACTTTTAGTCTTATCTATCCTGCCTAACCCTAAATGTGAGCTACTACCTTTTGTTTTTTCTGCATTTTATGCAAGAAGATATAAATATTAACAAATTTCATCCTTTCAGCACTTTCTTACACAAATACAATATAGTATACTCACACTACTTGGCATCTTCTCTCCTGTGTGAAAGTAAAGATACTTTCTCATGTACAGATCCTCTTTTCCCCCTAACTGTATAGTAATAATATATCACATAGCTATTTGTTTAACCAGTCCCCAACTAATGAATACTTAGCTTTATTAGCCACCATTGCCCACCATATTGTAAAGAATAGCCTCATAAATACTTAAGTGTATGAGTGCAGCATACCTTCCTAGAGTTAAGAGATTGCTGTGAATTTACGGCCAGCCTCAGCCACCTAGTGAGTTCTGGGTCAGCCTGCACTATAGAGTAGAACATTGTAAAAGAAAAATAAAATAAAATCCATCAACCAACCAATCTTTGTGCTTTACTGACAGTTTTCTAAGAAATCTGAATCTCAGTACACATGTTTTGGAGATCTTTCTAATTACTATAGATTTGGGCAAGTTCCATTTCAAGTCCCAGTCCCCTCTTCTGTACAAAAGGAATAGTGATGATGTCACTAACAAAAAAAAAAAAACTTTTGCAAATACATATATAAAGTCAACAAAGTTACAGAGCATTGTTGTTATATGTAGGCAATTTCATGAAATTAGTGTGGCCATCATTCTCACCAATTTTGAAAACCGTTCCTCATCTTCCTTTGTCACTGTATTTCCCAGAACTGACTACCATGAACAAAATCAGAGGAAAAGATACAGTGAAGGCTTCTTATGGGTGGTAGTAAGTGCTACATTAGGAATTTTATTTACATTTCATGATCTTTGTGTGACTCCTAAGAAGCATTCTTAGAGAAAAATGAATTCCGAGTGGCTAACATTTCATGCTGTGCCAAACTGCTAAGTGGAAGCAAGGCTAAGATTTTTGACATGGGTCTGTCTGACTGTAAAATCTCTACTTTTCTATACCATCTGTTGTGTAGCAGTTTCCTCTAAAACTGAAACCTCCCATCTTGGAGGGAGGCTCCTTAAAACACAGAATGCTTAAGGGGAGGTGAAACAACAGGGTATTCTAAGAGGAGGTGAAATATTCCATTCTGTAGGGAATCTCCTCATGCTCAGGAAGTAATCAACTCCATAGGTTCAGGAAATCACTGAAACTGACAAGATTCACTAATTCCCCACTACTGCCCTCTCCCAGCATATAAGCTGTAAGGGTTGCTGAGAGACACTCTCAGACAAGATGAGCCACCTAGAACAGGCTTAGACCATCAAAGCTACCTGGAAGAAGCTAAGATCAGCTAAGCCACTTGGAAGAAAGAGAAGCTGAGCTGCCTAGAAGAGGCCCAGAACAACGGAGCTGCCTGAAAGAGAGACACTATCCTGTTGAGATGGCTATAGGTTGTACAGTGATAGGTAGATCCCCAGCTTTCACGAGCTGTCACTCACGCTGGCATGGGCTTTGGTGACGCAGAATCTTTGAGTCATTTCTACTCCTGTATGTAACCCCTCACCCTTACTCCTGTAAGTAACCCCAGTAAAACTCATGGTTCACCAAGTTGGACTTTGGTGGTATCTGTACTTCTGTCTGTTGTAGGTTCCATATCTGGGGTGAGTAGATGCTTGTTCACATCTTCCCAGAAACAGTGTCACACAACATCATGTTTTCTTTCATAAGGAGCCAGAACGCCATGGCAGTGGTTCTCTATTGCTCCTGACATACTTACAGGGTGGGTGTTTCTGTATTTTCTGATGCTAGCAAATCCACCTGTGGATGAAGCCTGGGATACAAGTTGTTTGTTATAACAGGACTCGGAGAGCTGACACCTAAAATATAAAATGCATGTGTTTTATTTTTAAGGCAATTTTTATCATGCTCATGGTTACTATTATTATTATTATCCTCAATTTCCAAGTTAAAGAAAGAGATTAATTTAGATACTTTTGTCACTAGGGTTTCCTCTAAGAGAAACTAAAAAGCATCATTTATAGGGGACAGAAAAAGAGACAAAGACAGATAATCCCTGCCACATAAGGAGGCTGTCATAAATGGAAAAGATTATATATTGGATTTCCCAAAATCTCAAGCTGAACCAAAATGGAAAAGATTGTGCATGTCTTCTGCCTGGCACGAAAGTGAACAGTTAGAATTTCTTCAGAGCTCAGCCTTCACCTCTAAGCTCGTAAACTCTCATACTGTTAAGACACCAAAAGGGAATAATTATCCTCCTTTGCCCAAATTCCATAATAAAAACCCATGAAAACTCTCCAGTACAAGTGGTTCCACACATCTCACTAGCTTACAGAAGCAAGCCGCCAATATTTCAGAAATGAAGCAAGCTGTACACAAACCACAAATTCAATACTGAATACTTTTGCTGTGGAAACACCAAAATGTAAGAGAAAAACAAATTATGGGTTGGCTAAAATTTTAGAATTTTGGATATTTTTTTTTCAACTTGCTTATTTTGTAACATAACAAAACTTGTTGGAAATAAGGATAGAAGATACTAAAAGTTAGATAAGGTGGGTAACTTCAAGCCTACAGTCCATTTTGCAAATACCATTTCATTCTTCTTCACAATTTTTTCAGGAAACCACTGCTTCATTTCAGAAAGTAAGGAAGTCTCAAAGGTTAGGGGCAGAACTGGACCTCCAACTTGCATTTCTAACTACCTTCACATTTCACTATTATTCGGTCTTGCTTCATAATTCCTGAATTACTTTGTCTGCATCAATTATTCCCTGTGCTATAGCAGAGAAATCTAACAATAATAGTCTATGTCCAGAAGAGATTTAAATATTGGCTAGTGAGGAGCAAAACCTCTGGAGGTCAGGTAAATTCCATGGCATTCTAAGTCAGTGGGATGAGTTCCAAAGCCCTCCACTGCACACCCCATTCATTTGCTGGATCTAACTCAACCATTTTGCAGGGAATTGATTACATCTCTGATAGTCAAACTGACTTCTGTCCTTCTCGGGGCATTCAACTAGGAGACCAAGGAGAACTATTTCCTATCACGGTCCTATACAGTGAAAGAAGGCCCAGTTGCTTATTTACTTAAGCCTGAAAGCTGAGCATTCACAGAGTTGAGTACGTCCCCATTGGACATAGGTGTTGGCAGGATGGGACTAAGGTCGAGAAGATCACAGGAAGGAGCAGAGGGCTCATTGGAAGTCTGAAAACAAAGCAAACAAAGAGACAATTTAGGGGGAAAGTCATGCAACTTATCCTGGCTCTCTTCACATACATTCCTTTGGATATTTTCTGAGGAAAACTTCAGGCCATGGCATCTCACTATGCACATGAGTCCTTCCTTAATTAGAGACCCTTCTCACAACTTAAGGTGGAAGTCACACCTCCAAAGCCACTGCAGGGTGTCAATGTATTTCCTCTTTGAAAGAGCTGTTTCTAGGCAATCTTTGCTACCTGAAGGATAATTAGTAAGAACGTAATCATTTACTTTACGGCATTTTTAATCACTTACATTGGTGGCTTCCTCCGGGTTCCTGTTCTGTTCCAAAAGCCTTTGTTGGTTTCGAGTAAACCTGTTTAAATTAGCAGAGCGCAACATCACTTATCAAACAGACCCTAGCAGTATTAAATACACAGATAGTTGCTATACTGATGTCAAGCCTCACACCCTTACTCAATCCCAGGAAAATACCTTTAGGAACTAACCCTTCTCCAGGGGTGGAGATATGACTTAGTGACAGAGTTCAAAGTTCTGTATTTAGTCCCCAATACACAGCACAGCCACCAAACCCTTTCTTCTAGTTTACCCTCTTAGAAAAAACTATGAGGAAGTAAAAAAGTTTAAAAAAAAAAAACTTAATGAATCCCATGTTCTAGAAGTTAGCACTATTAATAATATGTGCAGTATGTGCATTCTCTAAGTGACTTTATTTCTGTATTAATTTACTTACTTTGAGACAGTGTTTCCGCTCTGTAGCACAGGCTAGATCTATGATCTTCCTGCCTGAACCTGGAATACTAGAATTATAGGCATGTGCCACTGTGTCTAACTACTTTTAAACTTAGTTGAAATTATACTTTATGCAATTCTGCATCCTAATTCAATTGTGTTGTATTTTTCTAGTCACTTAGAACTGTAATTTTTAATGCCTATAATATTTTACCATAATAATCAACAACACCTTTGCCAATTATTACGTTCAAATATAAGGTTGTTTCTTACTTTGTCATTATAAATAATTTTCATAAAATTAATCCAACAGTTGCACAGATGGCCCTGATTAAACTAAATGAGGTGTTCAACTAAACAAAAAAAAAAGTTGTGAATTTGGAAAGGTACTGGTGTGTGTGTGTGTGTGTGTGTGTGTGTGTGTGTGTGTGTTGATAGAATGAGAGGAGAAAAAGACAGGGCTTAGGGAAAGGGAAGCCAGGGTAAATTATATGCATGTATAAAACTGTCAAAGAATTAACTTAATAAAAATATTCAAAAGCATGAAAAATAATTTAGTGTTCAGCGTACCATCTTTAAGATACCTGATCTGAAAGAAAAGACTGACCTTTTACAGTTTGGACTTAATTTCCCATTTCCTGTCTACCAAGGTAAAAGAGAAGCAGTTAGAACAGTTGGAAAATAAAAGACCAGTGAAGCTATAGAAGTCCACATCACTCCCTACTCCCTACATGCCTGTGAATCCGACTCTCTGAACCTCAGTGTTCCGCCTGCTAAATGCGAATAACATTTGAGCCATGTCTTCAAAATCAGATAGCTACAGAGTGAAAATACAGGCAGTGAATGTGGAGTTGGCTTGCAAATTAAAAATAGCTTCAGAAACTTCTGTTATTTCCATTATGTCATTGACTCCAAAAGCCTAAAATACTTTAAAAGCTTATTCTGTATCTGAACATGCTTAAGTTTTAGATCAGCTATTCTCAACCTGTAGGTTGTGACCCCTTTGGCAAATCTCTATCTCCAAAAATACTGACATTATGATTCATAACAGTAGCAAAATGACAGTTATGAAGTAGCAACAAAAATAATTTTATGGTTGGGGGGTCACCACAACCTGAAGAACTGAATTAAAGGGTTGCAGCATTAGGGAGGTTGAGAACCACTGTTTTAGATTCTTCTAAAATGCATGCTTTGCCAAATGGGGTGATGGAAATATTTTGCAGGTAGGATGGAGATGACTCTTCGGGGACTTAGAGGATGGACGGTTACATGGAGAACAGTTTTCTCCTCTGATGATACCCATGTCCTACTTCACTGTGGCTGTGACAGGCTAGATGGAAACTGGGGTACTGAAGACTGCAGATGGAATGACGTCACTGGCAAGCTTACCTTAGCTAGGAGATGTTCTCGGATATTAGAGACATGCTCACTGTAGTCATAAAAAACAGTGATTGAAAAGAAAGGCTCGGAAGGAGAAGGTTAAGATGGGAACCATTTTGAAGTGGGTACTGGCGCTGAAGATGGAAGAAAGAAGCCGTGGGCCAAGGAGAGTGGGCAGCCTCTACCGGCTGCAAAGGTAAGGAGACGGAACCTCCTCTGGGGCCTCCAAAATGAAATGCAGCCCTGCTGACATCTGGAATCCAGCCCAGAGACAGATGCCTGCATCTCCCAACCTGGAGAACTTAGGTTATAACCTAATAATAATCAATCTGTGATGCTTCAAACTGTGGGGCTCCTGGCAGAAAAATAAGACTGGTAAGCATCTTTTCGAGAAGCCCCATTTCTCTGTCTCAGGATTCAAGGACCACAGCCACTGTGGTACATGTTGTTCAGAGCTGAGTCAACACAAGCAATCCAATTTCCTGATCTAGATCAAATAAACAAAAGTGCCTCCTTCGAGGGCGCATTTAACCAATGATCTTATGGTTGGCAATGCAGTTCTCCCAAATGAAAACCAGATAGCAGCTGGAATACTGAAAACCATGTGGTTGCCGTGGACATTTTTCTGCTTACAGAGATTTACGTCACAGGAAAGGTCTAGGACTGAGTCTTTCCAATGCTAAGAGTTTGGTGACTGGGCTCGCCATTGTGTTTTCTTACAAAAAGCTGCCATCCCTATGAGGCAGTGCATGTGAGACTGTGAAGGAGAAAGGAACCACCACAGTACAGCTGCTGGCTTTGTCTTCCCCATTCTCTTGCCTCATTATTGGTGAGGGGGAGAAGAAGAGTGAAAATCTTTGTGACTTTTAAAGTCTAAATGGAACATTAATGAGAAGGAAAAAAAAAATGGTGATTCAGTGCAGGAAATATCAGGGGTATAATTCAGTGATAGAGCACTTGCCTACCAGGGACAAAGTCCAGAGTTCAATCCCAGCATCACACACAAAAATGTAATAGCTGTCAATATGCTACTGTGTTAGTTGTTTTTAATATGTATTATCTCATATACTCCTGGAAAAAAAATCGACCCCTCCAAAGATAGAACTTTTTTTGTTTGTTTGTTTGTTTTTGTTGTTTTTTTTTTTTTAAAGGGAAGGCTTCAGAATATTAGTCAACTTATCTATATCATCTCACATCATCTAGATTTGAATTTAGGCCCTCTTACCTCTTCGTTATGCCACTCACTCCACTCCATTCTTCATTTGCTGGTTAGAAATGGATCCACTATACAATTAAACCAGTCCTAGTAATTCTCAACAGGAATGGTGCCTTTCCAAGGCTGGTCACTGAGTCACCTCAACTCAGAAGAGCATCTCTGGCATTTGAGGAGTAGTGGCCACACAAGAGAAAACTATGCCACTACTATCCAAATGCCGGTGCTACTGAGAAAAAAAGATCTAGAGAGAATATTCTCTCGTGGCTTCTCCAGAAGGACTGAGGATGGCATGATAGTGAAACTAGAGCCAGAAGGAAGTAAAAGGGTGTGCAACACCGTCTGCTCACCTCTCATATCCAAGGATGGCATTATTCAGATCCTCATTCACTTGAATTAGCTCAACAGTTACATCTTCATTTTCCACTACGACCAGCAGGTCCATGATCCTCTCCTGCATCTCCCGACCCGTCTTGTAAAGTTTCTGTCAGAAAAAGGAGGTTTCTTCTTCCATACTAGGGATGCTCTTTAAAAACAACTGATACACCGGTCTACACGTACCTATGGCCACTTCCATGCTAACACCCAGGGACCATCAGGTTTTTTAACTGTGGACAGTTCATCCTGCCCATCAGAGGGCAGTGAAAGAGAATGGTATAATTTTTCTCTAAAACAACAATGTGGCACACTAAAATGCTGTATAGAAATTCTAGAAGACCCGTTTAATAACTGAGCTATTTGGGGGTGGGGATTACTTGTTTTATAAATTTTAGTTTTCTCATTATAAATGAAAAATAACCACTTGTCACATCGACCTCCAGAGCTGGCGTGAAAATCAAACAAGATGTGTGAGACTGGGAGCTCTGTAACTACAAAACATAAACATGAAATGCTGTTGTCATGATTAGTATGGTAGAGGTAGTTAAGAAGCATTTACGGCATGGGGGCATAATTTTACTTCCTGTTACATGTACTTAAGCCTTTAAAGTTTATAGCTACATCACATTCAATATAAACGGAACCAGGATTTAAAAACTCATCGTGGATAATGACCTTATTTGGTCTACTTAAAATCACTGCCTTGAGCCAAGGCATTACCCCACAGCTAGCTTTTTCTCATAAGCATCATAGGCATCCATAGAACACTTAACCGACTCAGCAGCCCCAAGGCTTAGTCTGGGGAATCTACATTTTTCTTAACAAGCACACCAAAGCGTTTCTTAAGTACCCTGACATTTGAAATCTGCTGCCTTGCAACTGACTTCCTTCTAGCAAACATCCAATAAACCCAAGGTGCATAGGCTGATATTAGCATTGTCTCCATCCATCTTGGCCACATTCTCCTGTGCATTAGCACAGCAGCAGGCAAAAATGCAAGGATGTCTCTGCTCTCACAGCCAGAGCATGATAACTTGCTTACACATCACCTAATTACACAATCTGACTTCTCAAGAAAGGTACACCCAAAAAATGTATGCTTCGCCAAACCATTTAGAATCTCAAACAGTCTATTACAAGAATCCTGACAGGAAATTCAGAAATAAATAAATCAGATTATTACTAACTGGCATTTAGACTCAGATGTAGAAGTCACCACCTCTGCAAAAACATAAAGATATTTAGAAAGCAAAACAAAATAAAAAGGAAAGGTGAGGGACTGGAGGGAAGGGATAACAGGTGGTAGATGAGGCATTATACCCACAATACCAAGCCAAATAAACTGTCTTATTTATTAATGACCTGATTGCTGTTCATGTACAGTACAACTTTTTTTTTAACTATTTTATTTTTATATATATATATATATATATATATATATATATATATATATATATTTTACA